TCCATTCTCTATTTCTTAATAAAACACAGTTATTGTGAAAATCATGTGTTCAACTGTAGCTCCAGAGTGGTTTTTAGAACCATGATAGATTTCTGTTTGACTTCAGTGGCTACTTCCCCAAACACATCTTAGAAAACACAGAGTTAGGCAGGCAAGGTGGCTCATACCTGTAATCCCAGCACTTTGGGAGGCAGAGGTGGGAGGATTGCTTGAGGCCAGCAGTTCGAGACCAGCCAGAGCAAGAACAAGATCCTCTCTCTACAAAAAATAGAAAAATTAGCTAGGTGTGGAGGCACATGCCTGTGGTCCCAGCTACTAGGTAGGCTGAGGCAGAAGGATTATTGAGCCCAAGAGTTTGAGGTTGCAGTGAGCTACAATGATGCTACTGTACTCTAGCCCAGGTGACAGAGTGAGACCCTGTCTCAAAAAAAAAAAAAAAAGAAAAAAAAAAGGGAAAAAGATTCTGTGTAAGAACTGACCATGAAAAAGAAAAAGAAAAAAAAAGAAAACACAAAGTTAGAAATTTTATTACTAAATAGTATTAATGGGCTGGGCGAAGTGTCTCATGCCTGTAATCCTAGAACTCTGGGAGGCTGAGGCGAGTGGATCATTTGAGCTCAGGATTTTGAGATCAGCCTGAGCAAGAGAGAGACCCTCTCTCTACTAAAATTAGAAAGAAATTAGCTGGACAACTAAAATATGTAAATTTATTAAAATTGTAAAAATTAAAAAAATATAGTATTAATGGTGGTCCAAATAATCTCCCAACCTCAAAAAGTAAGTAACCTTAAAAGTAAGGTTCATTTTGCTTATTGATTGTGTAATTTATTCTATACCTGCTGCATATTGCACATAAGAGACAATTTGAAAAATCTTGTCCACTGACAATGCTTTCATTAGAACATATAAAATTAACATAATCTTTCCACTTTCTTCCTCCTGAATTGAAATCTTTTTTTTTGAGACAGAGTCTCACTTTGTTGCCCAGGCTAGAGTGAGTGCCATGGCGTCAGCCTAACTCACAGCAACCTCAAACTCCTGGGCTCAAGCAATCCTTCTGCCTCAGCCTCCCGAGTAGCTGGGGCTACAGGCATGCGCCACCATGCCCGGCTAATTTTTTCTATATATATTAGTTGGCCAATTAATTTCTCTCTATTTATAGTAGAGACAGGGTCTTGCTCTTGCTCAGGCTGGTTTCGAACTCCTGACCTCGAGCAATCCTCCCGCCTCGGCCTCTCAGAGTGCTAGGATTACAGGCGTGAGCCACGGCACCCGATCTGAGTTTTGTTTTTCTCTAACATCGACGGTAATAGGGATGTTCCAACTATGGAAGTAAAGCCTCTCTCCTAGTAGGGAGAGCAGCAGTGATTTCTGAAGGGGAAGGCCGCATTCTTGAAGCAGTGCTGTGAGGAGGGAGGAAACCTAATTGTGGTCGCCTTGGGACAGACACTTGATCTGTTTTGTTCATCCTGTGCTCCTGGCACATGGTGGGCTCTGGATATATGTCTGGAAATGACTGAATGAACAAAATGATAGAGATAGTTCATGATGGGGGCAAAATTGTATTCCTGGAGGAAGGCTGGAGCGTGCTGAGTCGAGAAGTGAGTTAGGAAATGTGTTTGGGCAACCGAAAGGAAGATCGCTGGATTACAACCTGGCAGACACATTCTGGCTCTTTTTATTTTATTTTAATTTATTTATTTATTTTGAGACAGAGTCTGGCTCTGTTGCCTGGGCTAGAGTGCTGTGGTGTCAGCCTAGCTCACAGCAACCTCAAACTGCTGGGCTCAAGCGATCCTCCTGCCTCAGCCTCTTGAATAGCTGGGACTATAAGAGGGCATCATAACACCCGGGTAATCTTTCTATTTTTAATAGAGATGGAGTCTCGCTCTTGCTTGGGCTGGTCTTGAACTCCTGAACTCAAACAATCCTCCCACCTCAGCCTCCCAGAGTGCTAGGATTACAGGCATGAGCCACCGTGCCCGCATAAGTATTTTTTATGATGGGATTTAAGAAGCACAATAATTTAGAGCCTTGCTTCTTGAAGTGTGGTCCACAGACCAGCAGCCTATATATTCCTTGGGAGCATGCTTGAAATTCAGAATCTCAGGCCCTTCCCACAGACCTATTAAATCAGAATCTGCAATTTTACCAGATGTTCAAGTGTCTCCTATGCACATTAAAAGTTTTTATAAAGTATGAAATCATAGTGGTTTTATTTGTATTCATTACAAAGTATCTGCAAGAATTACTGACGAGCAAATCCATAGAAGATCTGAGAATATCAATATGCTTCTTAGTCACAAATAATGAAGATTTGCATACAAGGTACACTGAGCTTCTGAAATTTCTTGGCTCTCAGAATATTCAGAAATACAAGGTCTGTCCAGACAGTATCCAGCCGTGTAATGTATTTTCATTATATTAACAATGGCTGCATACTTTCTGGACAGATCTCATAGAATAAAATAACTTTTGTTCGATTAGTTAGAAGTGACAATGTCAAATGAAAAGATAAATTGTAATATTCATGGCAACATACATAGTATTTTACAATGTAATATATGTAAAATAAATGTAAATATGAATATTACATGCACATTAAAAAGTTTGAGAAATCTTTGTTTAGAGCTTGGACTTAGGAGTCGTGAACTCAACAGTGACTAACTCTCTGAGTGTCAATGTTCTTGCCTGCTAAATGGCGATTCAGTGAGATGAGACAGGCAAGGTGCTTCATACATGAAGAAGGCTGTTCATAAATGGTAGCCATTGTTACCATGAACACCTCTTTCAATGCCTGGAAAGTTCCCATCTCAACTGTACAAAGGTGGCCATTACTCTGCTCCAACTATTTGTTTCCAACCAGGACTGCAGCAGCTGCTTCCTAGAATGCAAAACCTGATGGAAGCATGCCTCTGTGGCTTCGTTGCATGCCCTATGTCATAACTGTCA